AGGAAAGGCAAATGGGGGGGGGGTCGGGTATTAATAAAAGAAAAACAAATAAAGAAGAAAGAAAAAAATAAAAAAATAAAAATTAAACTAATTAAATACCTTACAAAACGACGCCCAGTGCGCGGTTGGTGTGCGGCCGCACATGTGTGACAGTGGGGGTCCAAAAATACACTGCCACATGTGCGGTCTGTGCGCGACCGCGCATGTGTGACAGTGGGGGTCCAAAAATGCGCGGTCGGTGTGCGGCCGCGCACGTTTATCTTTCCAACTTTTCCACTTGAGCCACTTTTAGCCCCTCATCGGATTGATTTCTTCACCCCGAGTCATTCCAGCGCGCACAAATTCATCCTTTCACATTGATAAACCTGTCAATACTCCCACANTATATATATATATATTGGGTTACCTCCCAAGAAGCGTCTTATTTAACGTCGCGGTACGACGAATTACAACAAACCCATGGGTTGCCTCCCAAGAAGCGCCTAATTTAACGTCGCGGCACGACTCGAGTTATCCCTTATCAGGGATCTTTCAAGTACGCGGTCGAGATCATTTTATCTTCCTCAACTATGCCTTGGTAATGTTTTAGCCTTTATCCATTAACTTTGAACTTGCGGGAGCCATCTTCCGAAGTAATCTCGACGGCTCCAGTTGGATGCGTCTCTACCACACAAAATGGTCCCGACCATCTTGACTTCAACTTGCCTGGAAACAACCTAAATCTTGAGTTGTACAGCAATACCATATCTCCAGGTTTAAAGTTCCGCTCAATAATATTCTTGTCGTGCATCATCTTCATTCTCTCCTTATATAGTCTTGCACTCTTAAAAGACGTGTAGCGAAACTCATCAAGCTGGTGCAACTCAATGACTCTACTTGTACCCGCCTCTTCTATGTCGAGATTCAACTACCTCATTGCCCACAAGGCTCTATGCTACAACTCCACAGGTAAGTGACACGCCTTTCCAAACATCAATTTGTACGGTGACATGCCAATTGGAGTTTTGAAAGCGGTACGATAAGCCCAGAGTGCATCATCTAACTTTCTCGCCCAATCTGTTCTTGTGGCATTCACAATATTTGCCAACGCGCTCTTTATTTCTCTGTTCGAAACTTCCACTTGCCCACTCGTTTGGGGATGATATAGGGTGGAAACCTTGTGGCATACACCATACTTTTCTAGCAACTTGGCGAAGGCGCGATTACAGAAGTGAGTGCCCCTGTCACTGATTATTGCCCTTGGGGTGCCGAATCGGGTGAATATATTCTTTCTCAAAAAAATAATTACCCCTTTTGCATCATTTGTAGGGAGCGTTGCAGCCTCCACCCATTTTGACACGTAGTCCACCGCTACGAGTATGTACTTGTTGCCATATGAGCTGACGAAAGGCCCTGTGAAATCGATTCCCCATACGTCAAACACTTCTACCTCTTGAATTGGGTTCATAGGCATCTCATATTGGCGGGAAATATTCTCGGTTCGTTGGCATTCGTCACAACCCTTCACCCATAAGTGTGCATATTTGAACAATGTTGACCAGTAGAATCCCGACACCAGCACTTTCGCAGCTGTCCTTACTCCCCCGAAATGGCCACCATATGGTGATGCGTGGCAAGCCTGCAAAATAAAATATTGGTCTATCTCGGGGATACATCTCCGGATCATGTTATCAACACAAATCTTGAACAGATAAAGCTCATCCCAATAATACATGCGACGGTCACGAAAGAATGTTTTCTTTTGGATAGAGGAAAGGTCATAGGGGACAATACCATTGCCACTGCTAGCAATTGTTTATTTGGTAATGTCTCAATTATATCTTCTACCTCTACTTTCTTTTCAGCTCCCTCCAACCTTGAAAGGCGGTCTGCCACTTGGTTCCCTTCCCCTTTCCTATCGCGGATCTCCAAATCGAATTCTTGTAGCAAAAGAATCCAACGGATCAAGCGTGGCTTTGACTCCTTCTTTTCTATTAGGTACCTAAGCGTTGCATGGTCAGTATAAACAATCACTTTTGAACCAATCAAATAAGACCTGAATTTGTCGAATGCAAACACCACAGCCAACATCTCTTTCTCAGTCACGGTATAATTGAGTTGTGAACTGCTTAGTCTTCTTCTTGCCTAGTAAATTGGGTGCACCGGTTTATCCTTTCGCTGCCCTAGAACTGCTCCTATAGCATAGTCACTCGCATCACACATGAGCTCAAACGGTTGCTCCCAGTTGGGTGCAACGATGATTGGTGCTGTCACCAGTCTCTTCTTCAGCTCCTCAAATGCTAACCTGCAGTTATCAGAAAACACAAAGGAGTGATCATTTTCAAGGAGTTTACATAAGGGGTTAGCAATTTTAGAGAAATCCTTTATAAATCGCCTGTAGAAGCCGGCGTGCCCAAGGAAACTTCTTACTGCCTTGACCGAAGTGGGTAGTGGCAACTTCTCAATCACATCAACCTTAGCACGGCCGACCTCAATACCCTTACTAGACACTCGATTCCCCAACACTATATCTTCTTGTACCATAAAATGGAACTTTTCCCAGTTCAGCACTAAATTTGTTTCCACACACCTTTTCAACATTCTTCTTAAATTGTGAAGACAATCTTCGAATAAATCACCCACCACTGAGAAATCATCCATAATGACTTCCATAATATCTTCAACCATATCAGTGAAAATGGCTAACATACACCTCTGAAAGGTGGCCGATGCATTGCATAGGCCAAACGGCATTCTTCGAAAGGCAAAGTAGCCATACGGACAAGTAAATGACGTTTTATCTCTATCCTCAGGGGCTATTGAAATATGCTTGTACCCCGAATATCCATCCAAAAATCATAAGTGAGACCTCCCTGCCAATCTATCCAACATTTGGTCAATGAATGGCAAGGGAAAATTGCCTTTCCGGGTGGCTGTGTTAAGTTTTCTATAATCCATGCAAATTCGCCAACCCGTGACTATACGAGTCGAGATCAACTCATTATTCTCATTTTGCACTACAGTCATTCCACCCTTCTTTGGCACACACTGAATTGGGTTGACCCAATTATTGTCAGAGATGGGAAAGATGATTTTCGCATCTAACTACTTGATCACTTCTTTCTTCACCACTTCTTTCATGTTAGGGTCGAGCCTTCTTTGATGTTCTCTGGAAGATTTGTACCCATCTTCCAGTAGAATCTTATGCATACAAAATGCCGGGTTGATCCCCTTAATATCTGCAATGGTCCAGCCAATTGTAGTCTTGCATTCTAATAACACCTGCAAAAGTTGTTCTGCCTGCACATCTAACAAATTGGATGAGATAATAACAAGTAAAGTGGTTTTAGGTCCCAAGAAGGCATACTTGAGGTGAGACGGTAACTGTTTTAGCTCCAACTGTGGTGGCTCTTCAATTGATGGCTTAACTAGAGGTGTTTTTCTTTCTTCTAAGTGTAAGGGATCGAATTCGAGCTCTATTTTCCAGTACCCTCGCCCTTCAATGGCCAAAACCCACTTTGCCAAGTCCTCACCATCCATTTCTTCTAAGTTCATGAGGCATGCTGCTAGAGGGTCTTTTGCATTCAGAGTCTTATCTTCCTCCTCCAATATCACATCCACAGCCTCTATCAGAGAGCAGTTAGCAATGTCACTGGGTCACCGCATATCAGAGAGCAGTTAACCTCTATCACTGGGTTGAACGTTATCTCTTCATCGTTTAGTCTCATCTTTAGCTCCCCAGTTTCACAATCAATTATATCTCTCCCAGTGGCCAAGAATGGCCTCCCCAAAATTATGGGAATCTCCTCGTCAACCCGGCAGTCCAGAATGACAAAATCTGCCGGAAACACAAACTTTCCAACCTGCACCAGCACATTATCAAGTATACCTAAGGGCCTCTTCACCATTCGGTTAGCTAGCTGTAGTAACATGGATATGGGTCTTGCTCTTCCAATGCCTAACCTTTTATAAATAGCCAAGAGCATCAGATTTATGCTCACCCCCAAATCACAAAGTGCCTTAGCAAAATCATAGTTGCCTGTTGTACATGGAATTATGAAACTCCCTGGGTCAGACAGCAGCACTACATGTTTGAGTTAGTGTAACTGTGGCCAAGTGTTGAAAGTCGAACTTACGAAACATCAAGTCCTTCATCATTTTAGCATAACCAGGCATTTCCTTCAAGGCGTCAATCAATGGGATGTTCACCTGGATTTGCTTCAACATCTCCATGAATTTCTTATACTGCTCATCTTTCTGATATTTGGCCAATCTCTGGGGGGAAGGGTGCTGGAGGCCGCTTCTTTCCTGTGGTTTGAGTTTGAACCTGCTCAGGCTCTATTTTGACTTCCTTCTCTTTCACTAACTCAGTTTCCTTTGCAATCTCTTTTTCTTTGCTAGATTCAGCTGGTGCATGTTATACCGTCACCTCTGTTAACCCTGTCGAATCATCTATATTGATTGGTACTGGCACAAATGTTTTAGTTGGTCGGCTTTCGCGAGCAATTTCTTGTTCTAGATCAAGATCTCTACCATTTCTTAAACTCATCACCATAAGCTGCTTCGGGCCCTGTTCTTTTGGATTGACTTGTGTGTCTGTAGGTAGCGTCCCTTGGGGACGATTGTTTAGAGCCATAGAGATTTTCCCTAACTGAATCTCAATACCCTTTATCGCTGATTCATATGAGTCCACTCTTTCTTGCATTTTTCCAGTGGACCCAATCAGTTGTTGCAACATTCTGTTGTTGCTATCCAGCATTCTCTTAAGTTCAGTAAACCCATCATCTTGTCTCACAATCTGTTGTTGTTGAGGCTGTTGATAAGCTAGCTGCTGATTTTGCTAATTGTAGCCATGTTGTCTTTTGTATGGCACAACTTGACCCTGTGTTCTCATGGCTCCAAGATTGTTACCATTATTGTATTGTTGTTGTGCTGGTCTATACTGTTGATTCTGCTGCCCCCAATTCTGACCACCTTGTCGTTGTCCTCCATCGTTGGCCACATAGTTCATATTCTTCTGATGATTCCGGTTGTCACTTTTCGCACTCCAGGAGCATACATAAGGTTGGTTGATGCATGGTGTACATAAACCCCCATTAGTCGCGTCAACTATGTGAACCTGTTGTTTTTGGCCTGATTCATCAATCTTTTTGGTGAGGATACTCATTTGCTTCATCGGAGTGGCCATATTTTCAGCTATGGAGTTGTTTGGATCCAAAGCCACTGAGTGAGCAACAGGAGTGATCATAGAGTCTCTTGTCATCCATCCTGAGTTTTGAGCCATTTTATCGAGTAAAATCTTGCATTCTCTGAATGATTTGCTCAAAAATGCTCCTCCTGCTGAAGCATCAACATTGGCCTTCAAGCTGTCTACCAATCCCATGTAGAACCTTTGCCCCAACATCTGATCCAGAATGCCATGATGAGGATACTTAACTAGCATACCCTTGAACCTCTCCCACGTTTCTTGTAGTGTATCTATTGGTCTCTGCCTGAAGCTCAATATCTCGTCAACTTGTTTGGTAGTCTTATTAGGTGGGTAGAATGTGTTCAAAAATTTCTTGACTAATTCCTCCCAAGTAGTGATGGAATTTATGGGGAGTGAATTGAGCCAAGTTTGAGCTTCTCCCGTCACTGAGAATGGAAAGAACAACAGCCTTATTGCTTCTAGTGTCACATTTGGTTGTCTTTGCGTGACACATATCGATAGGAAATTTTTCAGATGCTGCTGAGGATCTTCAATGTAAGATCCTGAGAACAGTCCCTTATTCTGCAACAAATGTAGCATGTTGTTCGTGATTTGGAATGATACCGCTTGTATCTGAGGGACTGCAATTACTGTCGCCATATTTTTGGCGGTGGGTTGTGCCCAATCATGCAAGGCTGCTTCTGGTACAAAAGGAATCACACCCTCATTGTTTGGTTCATTCGCATTATTTCTGTTATTGTTTGGATTTTCTATTCTGTCATCCATTTCTAGTTCGATTTGTTCTGTTGAATTCTGTTGTTGTTTGTCTTTCTTGTTCGCACGATTCAATGCCTTGAAAACTTTCTCAGGATCTGATAATGCGTCGAGAAATTCACCAGTTCTTGAGGAGTTTCTAGGCATGCACATGTAACACCCAAGACTACAAACATTAGAAATTCAATATATTTAGTTTAAGATGAAGAAAATTGACTACACTAAGAATTCTAGCTCTTCTTTTTGCTGCAATTAATAACATCATTAAATTCCCCGGCAACGGCGCCAAAATTTGATCATGTCCAACTCTGCCTTATAAAAAGGACTAAGCGGTCGTTGCAAATATAATCCGGTTTACAAGTCCGGAGTCGAATCCCACAGGGAATTAACGTATTAATCACAACTTTTAGTTCAGCAAGAATCCATATAATCAACTTCCAATAAGATTGAATAATGACTTGAGTGTTTACTAATAATTAACAAGGTAATTAAAAAGCTGTAAATTTTTATTACTAACAAAGCAATTGTTGTAGACAAAATTAGGAAGATCTAGAGTTACGACTTCCCCTCTTATCGGAATCCTCCCTGCTACGTCTGCTACAAATTCTCCTAGATACTCTCTACCGATCGTTAGCACTTTAGGTATCGTAATTCTCTTCCGAGTAAATACAACAATTTACTAAATGTATTCTTCCGAATTATGCTAGCTAGCACTAGTTTACCGCTCACTACAATCGCACCAAGGTTTCGTTATTCCTAAACCCACCTTTAAACCCTCTGTATTGATCCCTCATATACATTATGAGTGATTTTATTCAACAACTACCTAAACGTGTACCCTTTTCCAAGTAATACACATTAAATAGGCATAGCCGATTGAGGGCCCTTCAATCAACCACAATAATCCCGTAGTTGAACGAACAACTAGAGAAAATTCCAATGGCAAATTTATATTAAACACAACAAAGATTCATCCACCAAGAGGTTCCATCAAACCCTAGAATAAAGAGTTTAGCTACTCATAATATTTTTCACAATCACAATATAATAATTCATCATCAATGATAAATAAGGGAGAAAGAAAGATAAAAACTCATTTTTGAATCTTTCGTCTCTCTCCTTGCCTGTTCTTGCCTTCAAAGTTCTTCTAAAAAATCAGATACCCTCTTTTTGGGCGAGCTGGTCTTCATATAGGTCAAGGATGGTCGCCTCTAAAATTATAATTTTAGCCTTGGAATATTCTTTTCTCAGAGGGACGTGCGCGGCCGCGCACTTTGGCAGGTGATCGCGCATCTAGCCGCGCACTTTGGCTAGTTTCTGCCTGACTTGCGTGGCCCAGTGTGCGGTCGCGCACCAACTGCGCACCTGGGCAATCTCATGCACTCTTCTTCGTTCTTCTTTTTTTTTTAAGTGCGCTAACCTTCTTCGATCCTCAAATGGGATCCCAATTTATTCCATAAGCTTTTACTTGGCCTTCAATCCTCCATATTAGCTCCAAAACACTCCTTAACTTCATCATAGCCCGGAATGGCTCCTGCAAAGCATAAAGTTCTCAATAAGAGAAATTTATTATCATTTAGTGCTCAAACATTAATAAAGTGTAGCCAATTTACAGTACCAATAGTGGCCAAACTACATTATTATAGCCTACTATCAGCTGCCTATGTAACCTAATACCCAGTCACCACTAAAATTCCTTAAGATTCCCTTAGTCCCTGCTTTACCTGGATGACCTAAAGTTGCACCATCAGTGTTAGAGTTGTTTGTAGTATCAGGAATGGCTCTAAAGTCAGGCCAGTGTAACGACTCGACTTGTCGTTTTGAGTAATTACTCTCCTTTATACTATTTGAAGTCTTGAATAGCTTCATATGATGTATTATGGCGTGTGTGAATCATCGATTTTGATTTTCAGGTGTGTCGGGATTAGTTCGGAAGAATAAATTTCAAGTTGGAAGCTTAAATGAAAAGGGTTGACCAAAGTTTGACTTTTGTACAAAGGACTCTGGAATGAAGTTTTGATGGTTCCAATAGCTCCGTATGGTGATTTGGACTTAGGAGTGTGTCCGGATAATTATTTAAAAGTCTGTAGTTAAATTTAGCTTGAAATGGCGAAAATAGGAAATTTAAAGTTTGGAAGTTTGACCGGGGAGTTGACTTTCTGATATCGAGGTCGGAATCATATTGTGAAAATTGGAATAGCTTTGTTATGTCATTTTTTACTTGTATGCAAAATTTGATTTCATTCCGGATTGATTTGATATGTTTCGGTATGAGGTTTGAAAGTTGAAAGATTTAAAGTTCATTAAGCTTGAATTGGGTATGATTCGTGATTTTTATGTTATTTTATGTGATTTGTGGTATCGACTAAATTCGTATGACATTCCTAGATTTGGATATTCCTAGAATGTTCGACGTCGATTCTTCAAGAATGCGTGGTATCACATTAAGAAAATGAGCTCCAAATTCAGTTTTTGAAGTATATAGAAATTACAGAGCCATAGCAAAAAGAATCGTCAAATTCGGACATCGTATGAGAGAGTTATGCCCATTTCCGTGTCGGGATAAAATTTCCCATCGTTAGCATACAGGGTAGCATGGGGCGCTATCCCTGGCACTTGGACTTCTGGAGTTCTGGAAACGGCGCCACAGGCAGCGCCCCATGCCACCTGTGGTTCCCGAACAGTAAAAATCCCTATAAACGGGAGGTTTTTGCCATTTTTGACGAAAACAAAGTTTGGGAGCTCGGTTTGGGCGATTTGCATAGGAAAATTTCACCACACAACTTGGGGTAAGTGTTCTTTACTCCCTTGTGATTATATTCTATGAATTAATCTTCGTTTTTGGCGTTAGATTATTGAACTTTCAAGAGAAATCGGAGGAATTTTCTACAGTTTCATAAAATGAATTTTCGAGATTTGAACATCGATTCAGAGTCGGATTTGAGTAAAATTAGTATGGTTGGACTCATAATTGAATGGGTTGTCGGATTTTTTGAATTTCGTCAGATTACGAGATGTGGGCCCCACTGTCGATTTTTCGAGCGAAGTTGGAAATTTTTGTAAATTGTTAAATTGTAAGCATTGGAGTATATTTTGATTAATTTGCATGTTGTTTGACTAGTTTCGAATCGTTTGGCTTGGAATTGAGGAGATAGGAATGCGTTCGGAGGTTGATACGCGCAGAGTGGAATTTTTGGAGCATTGTTTAGCTTACTCGGTTTTGGATTCGACTTGCTCGAGGTAAGTAATATCTTTAATCTTGGAGATGAGGGTATGAACCCTGATTATACGTATTATGTGAATTATTTGGAGGTGACACACATGCTAGGTGACGAGCGTGTAGGCACGCACCATAGAAATTGAGACTCGGTTGATTCTGTAGAGCTGTATAGTCAATTAACTTGTATTTTTTCAGGTATTTTTATGTGTTAGAGAAACTAAGCTGTGACTTATGTTAGAAAACATGCTTAGGCAAATGTTGGTATTATTGGGATCCACTGAGGTCATTTTTGCTGTCGAATTATATGTTTAAACTATTATTTCATACCCAATCATATTCATTCGTTGCATATCATATCTCAGTATCTATTGTTATTTATTGATACATCATATCATCATTTTGGGCTAGTGTCATGACATTGCGAGCCCGAGAGACTGGAGAGATTAATGACTGAGTGAGGTCGAGGGCCTGATTTTGATGTTATTCATACTATAGCACGTGAGTTATCCATGCAGTATGTGAGTTGTTCGTGCAGCATGTGAGTTGCTGTGCAGCATGTGAGTTGTCCGTGCAGATT